GAAGTTAGTGTAAAATATATCCTCAATCTTACACATACTTTGTGCAAAACGAAATCTTAAGTCGAAATAATTCATAAACACTTTCAATAAGTAAATAGCTACACAAAATTATAATCATGTATGATATTATACTGTCTCAAATAAACTACCCGAAAACCTAAAGAACGAAATATCATATACTCGATTAATAAAAATGCTAAAAACATCCTTATAAATAAATTCTATTTACATAGTGAATGAATATTTGAATGAAAAGGTTTAAATAAAATGTAACTGTGTATCCCAATATTGAGTTTTTATAATTTCATGCGCACTATCCACAAATGAAACAACTTTTAAACGGTTTCATCTCGTTTATATTTAGTTTTATTGATGTTTGCAGGTTCCGTGTTCACATAAGACTAAGATAAAAGACAATGAATATCTTCAAAAAGTTGTTTCATTTATTTATACCAATTTGCAATGGAATTTCTGACCCTCTTCTTTCCATCTTTCTATATTGCCATACCTTTTTTTTGACCCAGGGAAAATGCGTTTCGCACTATCCCTGCCGTCTTGACGGACGGGACGGCAGGGTGTTTGTGGGACTCTCCCCTGCTGAAGGCGGGGGCCTACCCACTAAAAACCCTGGGCATGCCTCAGGTGGGAGTGGTGCCCGGGATCCCGAGCGTATTCGCCGGGCCTCTATATTGCCATACCTATCAAAATGCATGTAAATATTATTAACTGATATTTGTGTGTTTAGTGTCTAAGACGCATGCAATGCAATGAATAATAAATAAGAAGTAAGTATATTAGATAGGTAATCACCGTTCTTTTTCTTTGGGTAATATGAAGAAAGACAAATCTGGTTTTGGTAAACTATTATTGAGACATCCATATACACTACAATATTTTCGTTTCGTTTACAAAGCCATCTTGTAATAAGTGGCACGGGCTCTCTCGCATACCATTAACCATTCTGGAAATTTTGAGCTGAAAATGAACCCCGTGGTCATACGAAAACTTTGGTCGATAATGACGAATTAAAGGCGATTATGGAAACTGGTGAACTCAATCTACGGCTGAATTAGGAGTAGCTTTCGACCTTAACATCAAAACAATATTGATCCATTTGCGTCAAATTGGCAAGGTAAAAAAGCTTGGCAAATTGGTACCCCACGAACTCAATGATCGCCAGCGCGAAGTATGCATCGAGACTTGCCTTACACTGCTCAAGAGGCATACAAATGAAGGAATTCTGAAATGCATTGTTACTTGCGACAAGAAATTGATCCTGCTTAATAATCGTAAGCGCTCAGCAAGTTTATTGGACCCTGGTTCAGCACCCAAACAATGCACTAAACGAAAACTTACCCTTAGAAAAGTGATGATCACTGTTTGTTGGTCGAATGCGAGTGTAATTCATCACAGCTTCTTATTAAACGGGACGAGCATTACTGCAGATATTACTGTGAAGAACTGAACATAATGATGGAGAAGCTTGCACGTCTCCAACCATCTTTGGTCAATCGTTCGTCTCCACTGCTCCTGCACGACAACGCGCGACCTCATACTGCACAGCAGACAATCTCCAAGCTACAAGAGCTGGGGTTGGAAGTTCTTCGTCATCCGCCGTACTCACCAGTCGCCTACAGACTTCTACTTTTTCCAGAATTTGGATAACTTCTTGGCGTGAAAAAAGTTCAATACCAGGGAGGCAGTACAAAAAGCCCTTGAAGAATTTATTGCATCCCATCCAGCTATAAAAAATATAGAAAAAAATACGCTTCGTTTATCTCAAGAAAAACGGTAAAGACCTACTATATACTATGATAATATAATAAATTGGCTACTCATCTCAGATGGGCAACTTTCAATAAGTAAATTACCCAAGTTCACATAAAATATAATACTTCAACACAAGACTTTTTCGACAGGGTTTCGACCAGTCTTTCGGATCATAGCTAACGGTTGCCAAACATAAACTCGAACTGCCAAGATGATTAACGCTTTACAATGATGTGGAACTACAGGAAGTGCTTATTCGTTTGTTGCGCCAAAATTGATACGAGTAAAGTAACCTATTAGGACTGACAGTTTTTAGTTCAACATTAAAACAAATTATAAAATGAATGTTATTTTTTTTAAACTTCGTTGTTTTAGTAATGAACAAAATTGTTGAAAACTTAAAATTAATTGCAGAATTGCATAGAATAATTGGACAATCTTGGCATTGATTGACACTGTCGATAGAAACCGACGATACAATGGGAGAAGGTCAAAGTAAACATTTTATTGTTACAGAATAACAAAAATACATTGAAACTTTGTAATTTATTAACACTTAATAATTATATATTTATGCAGTATTTTAAAACGGGCAGTATATGAGATTAATGGTAAATGACTTCATATTCTAATGATGTCCTTTTTCAATTGAGTTTACCTGCGTACCTGACGAAAAGTTGCAGTAATTGAGGAAAACTGAAATTGAAAAAAACATACCTAAGTCATAATTGAGCAATGTTTTTCTACTGCTGGAATACAGGAACAGACTATGACCCACTCTTCAGCCTATTTCTAGGTGTCAATAACTGCAAATGCAGCTTGGACCATAGGCATAACCTTCTAAATTGCAAAGAAGCTCATCATAAAATTTCAGTAACTTTTTCGATTAATGGACATGGCTTACTTTGCTTTGGCTATTGGTTACATTTTCAGTTTCAAATCTGCTCTGTAATACATGTTATTGCCGATACGCGGCAAGACCTCCTAAATTACTACCATGAAGAAGATTGAAAGAATTTTGAAGCAACCTTCTATCAGTACTTACTTAAAGCCGAAGAAGATCAACCAATTTTTAAAACCTGTCAAGTGTAATATTCCCTTTCTAATTGCAAGTGTATACAAACTAGAATGCAACTGTGGGCTCTCATACATCGAGATGGCAAAGGGTCGCATAGGATGTCACATTAGGGAACATGTAGCTGACCTAAGCGCGAAAATAAATCTGCAGTGTGTGAAGTGAACATGTGTTAGGAAGACCTAAGCGTTACATAAGATTTGACAATCCAAAATTTCTTACGACTGAACATAGTTTCATTTTTAGAACGATACGCGAGGTTAGTGAAATTAAAAAACATGCGAATTTTAATAAAAACGGAGATGGGAATATACCATCGGCTTGGGATTTAGTAATTAGTCAAATAAAATCTCAATTAAGATCACATATTGCAAAACGAAAAGATAAAGTTAGATCATTACATCGAAGGGAGCAAGTCACTTTTACAGTCTCAGTTTATTTCGCCAGTTCTATTTAGACAAGAGTCCCAAATTTAGAACTGGTGATAGATTATTGTAGCCATTAGTAAATAAATAAGTCAAATGTATTTTAAAAATAATTTTATTAAAAAATGTAAACGTTTTCATAAAAAAAAAAACATTTTTTTGTATTGTAAATGTATCCAATGGTATTGTTTTGAAAGTAGCTATATTCATAAGTAAAAAGACAATCAACACCCTAGTCTTATGTGAACAGGGAACCTGTAAAGTACCCGAAACGTCAACAAAACTAAATACAAACGCGATGAAACCATTTAAAAATTGTTTTATTCGTGGATAGTGCACGTGAAAATATAGGAAATCAATGTTCTTAAAGAAATATTGGACTCAAATCAGTATCCAAGGTTTTATTGGGGTCTATGAATACCCCAGGGTAGTATTTCTTATTTTCATTAATTAGCAATATTAAAGTTATTTTTCAACAATAAAGAAAGAAGCTTAACGTTAAAACTTAAGTTGAAGATTAGACTAGATTACGACATGTCTGTTTTTTTAACTTATTACTGGCATTTGCCAAGTCTTAGCGCGCTATTAAGATGTCAAGATTTAGGTTACTGCCTAATCTATTACGAGTAGAGTTCAATAAATAGAAACCGATTATAATTGGTATATAAGGATCAAAGCGCTATTTTAGTTTCAATCATGATTGCGCGTGTTGTCTGTGTGTTGTTGTATATTCACTGTGCGTACGCGCAGGTGTTGTACGATGCATACTTCGGGTTACCGCTGAAAAATGAAAGGGCTGCTTTTCTCGAGTCTAAAAATGCAACGAGGTAAATAAAACTTTCACAATATATCATAATTTTAAGTCACATGACGCAGTAGTGAGCGTGTTTGATCTACACAAATATCGCAAGGGCTAGTGTTACGATAGGTGACAAAAAATATGATCACGAGCTCCTCCGTTTTCCTGGTAAACCAGGTGTAGTTATAGAAATACTGCAAATCACTCTCCTAGCAACTTCCTTTTGTAACAAGTTAACACGTGCCGGTGTTCGTTATTATCCCCAGACTATTTGTACTATAGCATCTCGTACAAAAAAATTGGCAAATTATATATTTGCCGTTCAATTAAAATGTGGAACAGTCTCTCATCTTTATAACTACATACAATCTTGAGTTCTTCAAAAGAAGTGTGAAGAGGCTCTTTGGCAGGCCGGCAAGATGATGATGGCTGCCGGGAGTAGTTTCTACTTCTGACAGCTATGAATTTTATTGAACTGTAATATCAACAGAATAGAACAAAAGAGTATCTATGACATTCCATCGGATGTGAGTTACTTTGTCGTACCACAATAAAAAAAATATGTTAAATTTAAATTAATTATGAATTAATTGTGAACTGAACGCTTTAAGCTTGATTTCAAAATGAAAATTTATATCTGGGACTTATGAGTTTAAACCACAAGTTTAAACATATATAATTATAATTTACAGAAGGTGATTTTTCTGATCGCCACCATTAAAATTTTCTTATAAAACCTTAACCTTTAATGTAGTACAATTAATGTGTTACCAGAAATTTGTTGCCACAACGGTGGTAATAAAGTTATTTATTATGCAGTGTAGGCTGTTAGAAGCACTTGTGAATGTGCGACCTGCAAAGATTACAGTTATAATCCTAATTATTTCCTAGAGAATCCATTTTGTTGACAGTTCATGTGCAATCCTAGTAGAGCCATGTAAGAAGCATGAGGGTCGTCGCATAGACGGCACCTGCGCTAACCCCAAGTACCCATCGCGTGGCGGCACTGCCACTCCCTTACTGCGAATGCTACCAGCTAGCTACGGATTAGGTAATTTATATTTATGAAGAAGATTTAATCATTTATTCTTACTCGCAAACTAAGATGCAAGAAATTATCCAAGTCTTTTACCTTGGTACCCTATTACGTATACTCCAACGTAAACTGTTGCTTTTCAGGGAACACAATAAGACCATCGTTGAGTGGTTCGGAATTACCATCTGCCCGACTCCTGCGAACGAAGTTACTGAGTGTCGGTTACCCTGAGGACCACTACTTCAACATCCTCGGCGGTCATTTTGGTGCCCTCGCTACCGTGGATAACGTAGATTTGACCTCCTTCTGTAAATAAAATCTATCTCTTTATATCTTTACGCTGTATCCCCTCCAGAGTAAGCAGATCGAATTAAATTTAATTATCCGTGGTGGATATTACGTAATGTTAGCTACCTACAACAATTTAATTTCGAAAATTATTTTTTAAAGGTACAAGTTATGCTTTTAGAATAGGTACCATTACATACGAAAAAAAATAACTTCTGTCTAACAAGAACTTACAAAGTAAAAAAATACAAAGGAAAAACTTTGTCATAATTTTTATAATTAGTTCAACTCGTTGATCTTCAAGTTTAACATAAAGGAATAGAGTATGTTATAATATAACATAGATGCAGTATTGGTGACAATGAGTTTATTATCTGTCATAATTTATATGTATGTACATCATGTGTCGGTTTTCTGGTTATGCATCCAGATCATTACCACTTTAACTTTGCGAGATATTGAACCTCTCATAGGTAAAAGTTTCACACTTTTTATTATTTGATGGCATCGTAAAATGATATCAACAGCACCTATTATTTATGTATGTATAATTTACCTTACGAACATCCATGCTATAATTTTAGATATAGCTTTTGATGTTATAAATAATTTGCACATTTTCTTCTTGATAAGTAAGGTATTAAGTAAGGTAGAATTTCTGTACATCTTTCTCGTTTGAGATGGACTTACATTTTTACAAATAAAACATTGGAACAAAATTTGTCCAGATATCGAATCTATAGTACGTGTATAATATGAAACAGTGGAATATACGGGCCCGAACGACTGCTGCATCGGTAACACGCCAAACCGGAAGATTCCGAAATGTATCTCCATACCAGTGCCGTCTGACGACCCGTACCTGCGCCGCTCCGGTATCCGCTGCATGAACCTCACACGCCAGGTGACCTTCCAGGAGAGAGGCTGCATACCCAACACCATGCCGACAGAGAGGGTAAATAAAAATTAAAACATGTTATATTATTTTTCAATATTAAAAAAAGCATATGCGTACAGTGGTTTTCTGATGAGATATATTTAAAAGAAAAATGCGGCAGAAAGCAATTCATATTTTGGTATTCTAACGTATGTTTACCATCTTCAGCCAACCTTCAACCTTAAGTCGTCTTCCACATTGCTGAGGGTCGTGATCCCCTCGGTGGGAAGACAGTTTTTTCTCTAAGGACGTCTCTCCCTTTGCTCCTTACTTGCGGCACTGTGCGAATCTGGTCAGTTCATCTCCGCCGGTAAAGACTCCTTGGCCGTTTCCCATCCACCTTTATTCTTTTTACGTTTCAGTTTTTCAGCTCAATTTATACATGTTTATTGTTTTAGGCAGTCATACAAAGAAGTTCTTTTTGACTACTTTTCTTCTTCTATTTTATCTATTAAAATTCTTACTATCCGCATATATGCTTGAAATATATTGTTAGATTTCTTTAACTTTTTATTATTTTTTTTGACTTTTTATATCTTGCATTTTTTGATTGTTAGATTTCTTTAACTTTTTATTCATTTTGTTAACAACCTCCTTTGTATGATTTGTAGGTATAGTACAAAAGCATACAGCCTTCAAATGCTAGTTCACTTTAAAGTTCAACTTCCGACCTATACAGAGTACAAACAAGATGTAACATTTCAAAAATTTCGCATTTATTACATTATATCCAAATTGACTATTACATTTATAAGCTAAATCCATGATTGTTATTTTATACTCTCGCTACTTTATTTCTGGACCCATTTAACCACTATGAAGATAAGTCTAAGCATATATGATTTGAATGTAAAAATTTTGTGCTTGTATAAAAAGTTGCATTGGTAACTGGTATATTTAGAATACTTTGGTTTAAAATATACACATATAATTCAATTTTCTTTCTAGTACGGTCTGCCGACGCCTTTGTTAGATTTGTCAACCGTTTACGGATATACAAACGAGCGCGAGAAACAAATTCGTGAATATGAAGATGGATTACTGATATCAGAGAAGCGCAATAAGATGGAATATCCTCCTGACACAGCACCATATTGTTTTGGGAACAGAAGGCCGATCGAGAATGCTTGCTATGAATTCGGTAGTTGATTTTCATTTATATACGAATACTACCTATTTGTTTAAAGCACATATTTGGTATATTTTCCAACTGAGTAGAATTAAAATCAAATAATAACTTCAAAATATCATGTGCTTCAATATACAGTAATAAGTTCATAAAACCAACGATAAACTGAAAATATTATTGCAAATCACATTTCTATAATCACAAAGAATAATATGTAAACAACAATAATCATTTCCTGTGTAAAAATACTTGAAACGTTTCTATACAGAATACAATAAAATAATAAATTTCAGGTGATGCAGTGGCTGCTAATGCTTTTCCCGGTTTAACATTAGCTACTTTGTGGTTCTTCCGGGAACACAATCGTCTGGCACGAAAGCTGGCTGAGATCAATCCATGCTGGTCAGACCAGGAACTGTTCGAGACCGCCCGGTACATCAACATCGCGGAGTGGCAACACTTATTTTATTACGAACTGATGGCAGAATTTTTGGGTGATAACAGATATTGTTTCAAATATTTGCTCATAGGTATTCTTAACTTGATTTTCATAGCTGAACTTTTATTTCCAAACTAGGTAGAGATAATGCTTTAAGTACTGGGGTAATATACGACACACCCGGACACGTAAATGATTTCGACGAGCATTATGAGCCCGGCTTGTACCACGAGTATATCGTCGGCACCCGGTGGTTTCACACCTTCTTGGACAGCCGCACGGAGTGAGTCATTATGTATTTTGATATGCAAGCTTTCTACTTCGTAATGTGTATTTGTCTTTTAATTTTCATTTCAACTTTCTTCCCAGTTTATACAGCAATCAAGGCAAGTACCTAGGCACTAGAACAGCGGTCGATGACGAATTCCGCAGCGGCGTCCTCGAACTCAACAACACAGAGGCAGACCTCACACAGGGCGCCTTCCGTCAACCCGCACATAAGTTCGACTACGTCATTGAGCCTGACGTAAGAATAACCAAACATTTTCGAATTTCCTGTATTTATTATAAAATTATCAATAGTGATATCTCATCTCATCCATATCTTAGAGAATATCAGCATTTTTTAAATATTTTATACAAACAAAATATCAACAAAACATCAACTGTACTACCATCGCTTTTTTATAAGTAAATAGATTACTGTTTATTATACATGGTTGTATATTTTAAATGTATTGGGATGAACAGTTGGTGGAACGAGTAGCTGGCAACGCTCAGAAAGCGCTAGACGTGGCGGCCGTAGATATCGCTCGTGGCCGTGACCAAGGCCTGCAACCCTACAACCAGTACCGCAAGCTGTGCGGACTGCCCTACGCTCACGAGTTTGAAGACTTTCACGACGTTATATTCCCAGATGTAAGTCTTGTCCTATACATATGTGTATATCTGTCGTTGCTTTCTACAACTTTATGTTATGCACCATGCCTATTGAAATCGACACTGAAATGACGACTTTGAGATTACCCCACTAAAATTAAGACCTCGGTGCGATGGCTGCCCCGTGCGCTTTATCCCAGTTGTATGAGTACGGCTTAATCTGCGAGTTCTCATTTGCCAGTTACGTTTATTTCTGGTTTGATTCTGCTTTGGATTTGTTATTTGTGCTCTCGGATTAATTATATATTTTAAAACGTGATTAATGATATGGTGTATTTACAATGACGTACTTTCGATTTCGCAAATAATAACAACATCTTTAATTTTTATTCATATATAAATATAAAGAAATCATCATCATGCAATATTTATATTGCGCAGAAAGTGAAACAGATGCGTCGCATCTACCATGATGTGAACGACGTGGATGTGATGGCGGCTATATACAGCGAGAAAATGATCGATGGTGGATTCATGGGGCCGACACTCTTCTGTATCATCGTTCAAAATCTGCTGCATTGGCGCAAGTCCGACAGACATTTCTTCGAGCACGGAGACATACCAGCTGCCCTCACGCTACGTGAGTTATATACATCATTACTAATTTTCGCCTTTAAACCGTCATATTTTATATTTTAATGACAGTAACTTAAAAAACCATTACGATTATCATATTTTGCAATGAATGAACATTACCTACAAATCAAACATAAAAACTTGAATTCACGTCGCCATATTGAGTATTCATTAGATTCTAAACTTGCAGCCCAATGGTACAGTTGTTAGCGATAGTGCTAATATTATAGACATACCACTGCTTTAATAAAGGCGTGGGATTTCTCGTAGATGTAAAGTTTACTATCTCGAGCTTTTATAAACAAGACACAAAGCCTCGGTTGCACCTGCTTCCTCGGGCTTTGTACCAATGATACCAGGACAAGATATGATACGTACAAGGACAAGGATACATGATATGATGATTAATTAATTAAACAACTTTTCGACTGTGCGTTTAAGATTGTGATTTGGACTTAAATGACAACCATCTTGGTCGCCTTGACTAAGTTACCTTACTGCCTCTTTGCTTTCTTAATTATTATATTTAAAAAATACCAGGTATGCGAGTTCATAGTTAAACTTTATGAGTTTTTCAGCTCAATTGAATGAAATAAGAAAATCAAGTGCAGCCAGGCTCCTGTGTGACAACGGAGACGGAGTGGATGAGATCCAACCGAGAGCTATATTGAATCCTGGACCCGGGTAAATTACTTTTTCTGTATTTTATAAATTACTTTATATAAAATATTATCACTCATTAGTAATTATGAATAAAATAGTGCAATTTTTCACCATCTTGTTCTCCTATATTATTTTCACTTCATTTTAAGTTTTTATCAAAACAATTAATCAAAAAGTGGTGCATAAGGTTAAATGAGTTATCATTTAGCTTATCATTGACTTCACTGCAGTTAAAAATGCAAATAAGCTGTAGTTAAAAATGAGTAACTAAATTATGATTCTAAGGATTACGTCACATTTATAACATTTTCTTTACAGAAAAAACCTAAATAATCACTTTATAGGGAAAATTGATAAATACGTGAGTCACATTAGAACCGAGGGAATATGCAGCAGTTTTACAACAATGGTATCCGTTTTCGAGTTATTAATTTGAATACTGTTTTTAGAGCAGCGATTCGCTATCTTCTGTCCCATCTATGTCATTTCCGGGCGCCATGAGATAGAAATGGACAGTCTTTTAATATTACACCCCTTCTCTGATATCTATCTATCATTTCCAAATTGCTATCAAATAGTTATACACCACATAATAAAAATATATCTCACTTCGAAAGTACAAAATATCTCAACTGAATAAATATTCCATTGCAGAAATGAAATAAGATCGTGCAAAGATATCCCCTCGATGGACCTTACCAAATGGGCGGATGGACGATGTTACCACAAGGAACACAAGTAACAACAGACGAACTCGTAGGATATTATACAATCATATGGGATTATGGGAATCATACAATTATGATAATAAATAACTAAAACGAAGCGACAAATAAGCTCTATAATGAAAAATAAAAAAGTCAAAAGAAAATATTTTACTGAAACTGGAATAAGTTTTTACTCCGACTTAACTGTAATAAATAACCATAGTTAAATACAACTTATGTCATGTTTCTAAGATATTCAAAGATTTCTATTGGATTAAATTTTACATTATAAACTTGTAATGGCGCACGCCCTCTTGAGTTTAACCTTACCATACTAACCTGTCATTACTATGTTCGATGTGCACACAATCTTATAGTATCTATACATATTAGAAACTGTATTATTATTAATTTAAATATATTTAAATTGATGATGTCTATACAGCTGTCACTTTTCTTAGATAAATAATTTATGCTTGTTTATATTTGGTTTTATTTTTGTTATTCCAAATTGTACTTAATAGAAATTATCTACTTAAATTAAAAACCCGTCGGGGCAGGTGAATTTTATAAACATTTTTCTTTAAAATAAGTCACTTCCCGCTGTCTATCCGCCGAAATAAATTACGCAACGGATTTCTATGCGACTTACATAAATATAAAGGGTCTGTCCACAACGCGCATTTTTTTTTTCGCGCGAATTTATTATCGAATCATATGGGAATATCCGCACTTGCGGTAAAATAATCGCGTTTATTAAATTACAAATTTGCGCGATTGCTCAATCGTGCATCAGTGTTAGCGGTGGAAAGACATAACGCCTCCCCGTAAAAGACCCCGTCTACTTCTCCCGTCTACTCGGCATTTCAATTAAATTTAATTGATAGTGAGGAAGAATATACATTACATACAGGGTTCCGTATCTGTCTGTCGCCAGGCTGTATCTCATAAGCAGTGAAAGTTAGACAGTTAGAAATTTTCACAAATACTAAAAGCCAGAATAAAATAAATATTATTTAAATATATTATATAACAAACGTGATTTTTTTTGCTCGTTTCGGGTACGTAACCTTACGTGCGCGAGTCCCACTCGCACTTGGCTGATTATTTAGACGGTCGTCTTGACCGGAAGTGACCGACAGTTAAAACTGACAAAAATCGCTCGGAATTTTAATCGCGATGCGATCCTTAGAGTGATTCAACAGAAAGGTTTATATGTATTAAAAATAAACTTGCAGTTCCAAGCTTCCGACTCCAGAAAAATAGAGGATCATTTCTGGGTAAATGCATTGCTATGTTCAATAAAGTTCCACAAAATGTAATTGACGTTCCCATAAATAAATTTAAAATTAATGTAAATAACATACTTATGAGTAAAGGCTATTATAAAGTTGATGATTATTTTAAGGATCGCAATGCATGGAATTAATAGCCTTCGCTTTGTTCTATAAAAACTTATTATATGTTCAACCTATGTCTTTTTTTTATTTATTAAGGAACAAACAGTTATACAAAATTACATGAACATAAATAAAAAAATATATAAATAAACCTATAGTTCCCAACATTACATTTGTTTTATTGTTTAACAAAGAAAAAATATATCAGACATATTACACATTATAAATATCAAAGACAAAAACAAGTATATAAGTAAACTATGTCCTACAGACTTTGAAAGTTGTATTTATTATTGCGATAATACATATTATTTTGGTAATGACATGATTTATGTAAATGTCATTACTTATGATAAAGAGCTGGTAAGTTTCTTTCGCTTGTTCTTCTTGTCAGCTAAAAGACGTCCTGAACAAGTGGTAGGGGAAAAAATTTTTTTTGGACGATTCAAAAGTGCTTGTAATAGCCTACTTGAATAAAGATCATTTCATTTCATTTCATTAATACAGGACCACGCGGGCGAAGCCCTGGCGCTAGCAGAATTTTTATAAAAGTACGAGAGATTCACAAACAATCGCAACCATGGCCTTTATGGCCAGTAAATACTAACTATGGAAGCGTTTTTGTAAATTCAATACGTAAGAATGTGAAATGGGTTTTCAAAGTTTGTATGGAAGTTCATCCGAACTGTAGTACGTAGAATAAAAAAATACACACTACTATGAGTCAGCCACTTTTGCTGACTGAACAAACAATGATAAAGATGTATAATAGTCTTTTATAACAAAATAAAAACCATAAAATATTTTTATACGTATATTATACGTACAAAAATAGAGTATAACACCTAAGATACTCTATTTTTCGAGTTATATTGCTGTATTAGTTACGAAAAGCGTTACTTTGATTGCACAACGCAACATGTAATATAATCAGTAATTGGACGATCATGTCTGACAAGGTGCGGTGTAATTGCATTGTCTGTCTAATAAACGTGCTACATAGAGGAATGTAGGCGAAGTGTGCGCACCGGGTCAATATCCACATAGCTAATATTTTTTCAAACTTCTTAAATGTTTGAAAGCAAGGAAGAGCCAACCCCACCCCTCGGTGGGACCTCTTAGGCCATAAAACGCGCAATCCGAGTGTCCTAAATACTTTTCTAATCTTAATCCCGTTTCTGTTTCTATTTCTTTTATTTTGTTGTTTTAAGTTTTGCACAGATTTAAACAGAAAGTTCCCACTGCACATAACTTTAAAGTGAACATTTCGTTGTTAATATATTACTTAGCCATAATGATTTTAAAATATATCAATAGTTGAACTACTACGAATTTTTTTGAAACACTAATAACATCATTTGTGTATCGTTTCTTATTCTATTTTAAACTGTTCGATTTTTTTCATGCTCTTTCGAAAATAAAATGGATTCTATTATACCTTATTTGTTGCACTATATTACCCGTAGTTAATGACAAACAACCGAATGCTTAAGGAATTTAGAGAAAGCGACCAATTATGTCGCAGCGCGTTGCGTGATATTAGGAATTTATTATATTTGCATTTACAATGCTAAAGAAAATCCTGAAAAGATCTTGAAACATTATATCTTAATTTCTGTACTGCGAAGAATATAACGACATTTAATTTTATATCTGTCGTTATATTCTTCGCAGTACAGAAATTAAGATATAATCACGAGCAAACCGGAACCGCATTTCTAAATTGTAATCTCACTGTAATCTGCAATTATATAAAAAGTTCATTTATTAACCCATTCTCCCCTACTTTTGGTAATCATATTTTAATTGGCATAATAAGACTTGAGTATAGTAATATTATTTCTTATTAAATTTCAAGTATGCGTGCGTGTGTTGTGTGTGTGTTGTTGTTTATTCAATGTGCGTACGCGCAGGTGTTATACGATGCATACTTTGGGGTGCCGCTTAAAAATGAAAGAGAAATTTACTTCGAATCTATTAATGCGACTAGGTAACTATAAGAAAATTAAAAAACAAACGAAAAAAATATACTTTTTAAATTCATCATAATTGGAACTCCTTATTTAACACTAGTGGTCATAAATTAATTATAAAATAACTGATTAACCGATTATCCTTATCCCAGCGGTAAGGCAGTACTACCTTGTTGAAAAATAAGTTATGAATAAATACTATTAATTAGTAAATTATATTATTTTAGACCAGACCTCTTGTAAGGACTCATTGAACTCGCCCAACCTCCTTATTTAATCACAAAGTTCCTATAGACACATTGTAATACCGCCATCCATCAGACTCCGCATATGATCTTGGACCCAATTTTTTGTCAAGACAAATAAATCTAACTCAAACTTGATGGGGTTGCTTTTTTTAATTTTGGACCCAATCTTGGACCCAATTTTTTGTCAAGACAAATAAATCCAACTTAAACTTGATGGGGTTGCTTCTTTTAATTTCAGAGGTCACATGGCTGCCTCTTTACTCCATCTTTAGATCAGTTCCATTCCATATCAGTATTGCTTTGTCATCCAAGTTATACTTATACGCGTATAAAATATTTAACTCATTTTAACACTGGAAAGTGTATTTTTAACTTGCAGGAATTAACCTACACAAAGTAAACAGGGTAAGAAAAATTTAAATAACGTAATACTTAATAATAATAATCTTTTTCATTTGATAATAATTTTCCCTGTCTAATTCAAATTCTATATCATTTATTGAATCTAAGCTGTTACTTGTGAAAGTCGAAAACTATACAATTTGTTGGCAAAGGAGAATGCCTTTTTGTATGGTGATTCATACCAACTTGCATCAACCCAAATTTACTTTCAACGAGTCTAGTTTTTATTTAACTTTCCACTTTCATCAAGACTTTATCATAATTTAAACGCATTTTAGAGATATTAAAAAAAAAATAATGAAAACTTCCTATACAGGGTAATGGGTAAATATACTCCGGTCTAATTACCTATTAACCTGTATAGTAAGCATCCTTTTAAGGGGTCGTAGGAGAGGGCATTTATAAATTATTTTCACCCCACATTATATATCCGAAAAATTATATTTTTAAATGTACATTGTTTGCAAATTACATAAACAAAAACTTTTTTATTTTTAAACTCTAGTTTCTATTTGGGTCAAAATTAATTGGGTTTTATTATTATTTATATTAAATTAATTAACTTTTTAATAACACAACATAAATTAATTTCATAACATATAACAATCATTATTTTACTTATAAGCGTCCTAACCTTTACAGCTCGTAATTGCCATCTGCCCTATGATTCTATAAAAATCCAAACCAGAATTCGTATTCACTCAAGTGTTCGAATCCACTTCAAAAAGCGGCATCCGCTCAACCTAGAATTGGTAATAACATTTCGTGGTATAAGCGAAGTGAGTTTCGAAATGACATAGGAATAGAATATCTGAGACACGTATTGGAGTAAACACTCACATAATCATGTAGCAGTCTTCGAAGCGGCTACTGCAGCTTATCTGTCATCCTTGACAGTTGCAGATCCACAAACCATCCTTGTAGAAGCTTTATTGAAGTTTGGACGTTCTTAATTTTGTAGTTCAACTGCTTCCACAGTAGGTTCATCATTATATGCAAATTGAAAATCTTTGTTAGAATTAGATTCGGATTTACGTGTCAATATACACAATATAATATCATCACATTGGTCGACATTACAATTTAAATTATTTAAAACAACGAATTGTTATTTAATGCCTAATATTACGAGTGGTATTACAGCATTAGACTTAAAGAGGTGATATATCTAACAATCTATGTAGGCGTTCATTTTTAATTTTATATACATTATTATATCTAACATCTAAAATTTTTAAACCTTCATAATAAGGCAGGTTCTTAATTAAATCTACTCGAAATACGACTTCAATATCCGAAAAGGGGACATTATGTGTTCCACGGTGATGTATGTTTATTTATGTACGTTCAGCGATATTTCCGCCAATTGTAGGTCGATATATAAATTTCTTATTTTATTATTATAATAATTATTTTACTCTTTAATTATGCACTTAGACGACAGCTAAATAAGGATATTTAGATCATTGTTGATTTATGGAAACAAGGTCAATTGTTTAGGGAACGTTATTTTGAGGATATGCTTTTTTGGGGAAACAAGCGAATTGTTAATTATTTATTATCAGTGGTAAAAACATAAAAATAAAACATTATTTTTGGTAATATTGTCCCTATGACGCAGTATGGTATGAAAAAAGGTAATCACACAGCTGACCTTTTACTGTGAAGAACCGGCAAAAAGCTCAACAAGAACTGCCTTTTTCTCCACGTTTCATTTCGGTATCGCGAAATATATAGCTGAAATTGAAAAAGATAATATAATGAAATGTACGAATACTCTTTACGTCCTGCCAATTTCACTGTAGGTGGTAATTATCTTCGTAAACATCAGTATACAAACCAGTATATCCACAGCTCATGTACAATCCTAGTTGAGCCATGTAAGAGGTACGAGGGTCGCCGCGTGGACGGCACCTGCTCTAACCCCAAGTATCCGACTCGTGGTGCAGCACCCACTCCACTTCTAAGAATGCTGCCGGCTAACTACGGATTAGGTAATTAATGTCTTTTTCTAGCACTCATAATAGGGATTGGTTCTCATCATGGGTATCTTGATGTCGCTTGGAATGTAGAGACGTGGCCATTTCAAGCCCTTAGGTTCTTAGGACAAGAATGTCACCTTGTTCCAACACTGTGGTTTCCCATAATTTTACCTTAGTTAATGAGTCGAAGAATTATGTATTTCTCAGGCGACTTGAACCATCATAATAATAATTGCAAAACGCAAGTTCAATTTAGCTGCAACTGGAAAAAATAATTTCACAGTTGTACGTGTCCTACCGTGGCCTAACCAAATATATACGTATTTTATGGATGCTATTTGGCTTAACTGGTGAATTTAAGCAATATACGTCAGATTAGTCTATTCCAATGCTCATTCTAAAACAGCAAGCGTATATTGACAATACATAAGTGCTAGATTTAAATAATAATATTTTAAGAGGCCTTATTTTTTTTTCAGGTAACACACTAAGGCCTTCTTCGAACGGCTCGGAGCTGCCGTCCACCCGACTCCTGCGCACTAAGCTGCTGAGCGACGGTTACCCTACGGACCACAACTTCAACGTCCTCGGCGCTCACTTAAGCGTCTTCGCTACAATGGACACCGTAGACTTGAACTCCTTTTGTAAATTTTTAACTATAAAAACACTTAATTTTAAATTTTCAGAATAACCAATATCATTGTCTTCTATAATTAATTTTCATTTCGGATAGGGTAAAATCAAATTATCACATTTTTCTTTTGAGAATAGGCGGCCTCGTTACCTTAATTTTGATATGTATCCCTAAAGGTTATAACATTTTATCTACAATCATAACATATACAATAATATATCAAACATAATGAAAGTACACTTATAAATCTTATTTGTCAGAAGCCTAATAAAAAATAATTGAAACCCACTAACAAAAAAATTATAATGTAACATTCACACGACCTAGAATCTATTTTATTATTCCATCAAAAATGGCAAAGGTCTGATGTATTGTGTATTTGTGTATTTCTGTACTTCTTTCAGAGAGAAATGAAACGATAGATGAAATAGCTTTTAGGAGAACACGGTAATTTTATTTTATGCGATCGACTATAATTACTAATGCAAAAAAATGTTCCTTCTATGAGACAGTGCGATACACTCGAGAGAATGACTGCTGTATTGGCAATATTCCGAACCGTATGAACCCGCAATGCATGGCCATACCGGTGCCTTCTGATGACCCGTATTTGCGCCACACAGGCGTCCGCTGCATGAACCTCACACGTCACGCCACCTACCAAGACATGGGCTGCATTTCCAACACCATGCCTGCAGAGAGAGTAAATTATTACCTATTCTAATTAGGAGTAAAATTCAGTTTACTAACACATAAAACTATTTTTTAGATTTGTGTAGAATTGTGTAATCAAAAAAGCATTGTTTCACATCTATACATACGAAAAACTGTAATAAATTAGATAAATATTGGTATTGAAATAGTAAAATAATTAGATTTTTTATTAAAACTAAATCCTTTTTATTATAGTACTCGCTGTCAACACCTTTGTTGGATTTATCCATTGTTTACGGGTTTACCAAAGAGCGTGAGAGACAAATTCGGGAATACAAAGATGGACTGCTGATATCAGAGAAACGTAACCGGTTAGAATATCCTCCTGACACAGCACCCCATTGCACCGGGAACATCAAGCCAACCGAGAATGCTTGTTATGAATTCGGTAGGTTATTTTTCAATCGAGTACATCTTCAGCGAGAAAAACTGAGAAAATCTCTAGTTGATAAGAATCTTCATAGACCGTGAGCTCACTAAATAAGAAGTCTATAAAAAAAATTGTTCATCTACTATTTTGACAGTATTTACACCAAAAGAATTTTTACATAACATTTTATAGTAAATTAATATTAGTTAAAAATTTTACGTGAACTGCCAATGTATAACTTTTTATTAATAAATTTGGAGTAATCGCAGAAATAGTACCTGTCCTCATTTAAATACTTTAGGTGAATGCAGAAGTAGTTCTACATTTAGTGACTACGTAAATTATACTTATTTCACGTTCATTAAAAATATATTCTATATATATGTAAATACCGACTATTGCTAATGCGCTTGGCCGCCATTTTGGTGACGTAATTCGTACCGTTAACGGATAGACTGGTAGACGAGTACACTTATTGAGTTGGATTGTTTTGAGATTATGTTAAATTTTTGTTATGTGATTGTTGTTTTCGATTGTTATTGTTAAGATTCGTTGTTACTTGTCATGGTTGATTAAATAGCAACTGCAATTAAGATTTTCACATCAAATTAACCTAATATCACTAAAAAAATATATATCAAAAATATAAAAAATACCTATATCTAATGTACTTCTTAATGAAAAACGCTTAAAAAGTGCACTTTGTCCCTGACATTCTGAGACGGGATTCGAACCCACAACCTTTCGCAATCCGAGTGACTGCTCTAACCACTGAGCTACCCAGGACTTAGGGCTCATAATTAATAAATTAACCTTTTCCAAAAATTAATGCAATAAATTAACAAACTAAAAGTTATCATACTATTTTATTTTACAATATTTTGGGAATTATTTAAAAATGTTTCATTAAATAATAATAAAATGCATTTACTATCTATACTTAAATGACGTCACGCGGGAGTTTAGACAAGGGTCCAGCGCATTAGTAATTTATGGGAATTATAACAGTCAGTTGCACAAACGTACATTAAGCTTTAATGACGACATTATTAATAGCAATTTTCAAATTTAAAACATTCTTTGGAGCTTAAAATGTTCTCAATTTGAAAATCGGTATGAGTCGCTTTGAATGTCAATTTTAATGGATGTTTATGCCAGTGCGTGTATCTTAATACTTATATGAAAAAAAGGTGCTCTCTTCAATTTAAATTAAATAACTAACATTATAAGTAGTTAAAAAATTGCAGGTGATTCATTGGCTGGTAATGATTACCCTGGAATCACATTGACCGCTTTGTGGTTCTTCCGGGAACACAATCGTCTGGCACGAGAGCTGGCAGAGATCAACCCATGCTGGACAGACCAGGAACTGTTCGAGACAGCGCGGTACATCAACATAGCGGAATGGCAGCACTTGTTTTACTACGAACTTATGGCAGAGTTCTTGGGTAATACTATCATTTTAAATATGAGAATTTGAAATAATTCTCTTAATTCTTACATGTTGAAATATTATTCCCAACTAGGTAGAGAGAATGCTTTAAGTACTGGGGTAATATACGATACACATGGACACGTAAATGATTTCGACGAGGAATACGAGCCAGGAATCCACCACGAATACATCGTCGGTACCCGGTGGTTTCACACATTCACTGATGGACGTACAGAGTGAGTCATTTTATAGTTAGTACGATCCATCTTTATTGTACAATGTGTCGCTTTTCAAATCGTAATTTAATTCATTTTCATTTAACATTCCTCCCAGTCTGTACAGCAATACAGGTAAGTACTTAGGCTCCAGGACAGCGGTGGATGACGTGTTCCGCAGCGGCATCCTTGAGGTCAACAACACAGAGGCAGACCTCACACAGGGCGCCTTTCGCCAGCCCTCACATAAATTCGACTACATAATAGAGCCTGATGTAAGTATAACAAGTTATTGGATAGTCCTTTTGCATCGTTTTACAAGAATAACGAATTCAACTGGCTAGATTCGCTCAGTATTACATAAAGTACGTTTTTCTTTCATGGACACTAACATTTCAGAAATAGTTATTTATTTATTTTTAATGCATTTACAGTATAGTATTAAGATGTTCATAAAAACAAAAATATCATTATTATTTACGGGGATCCTACAATGATACTGGCTCTTGCGATAATGCCGACGCACGCCGGTTTCAAGGAGTCGTCATCTCTGAGGTCCCGGGTTCGATTCCAGGTCGGGTCAATGTAGAAAATGAACTTTTCTATATTGACTCGGGTCTGGGTGTTGTGGTACCTTCGTTGTCTCAGATACTCCATAATACGGGGGCTTTAGCTACTCATCTTGGAATCTGAGCAATGTATATGATGTTGTTAAATATTTATTTATTTATTTATATTAACTACATATTATATTAATTGAATTTTGAAATTTTAAAATTAAAAAACATTTGTATTTGTTTAGGAAAATCAATATAATTTTTGTTAACAATCAAGTGAAATGGCTGAATTATTAATAATATATAAATGGAATACAAATATATATGTGCGTCTTTTAGTTAGTGGAGCGCGTAGGAGGCAATACGCAGTTAGCTCTGGACGTGGCGGCCGTGGACATATCACGTGGACGGGACCAGGGTTTGCAGCCCTACAACCAATACCGTAAACTGTGCGGGCTGCCTTACGCTCACGAGTTTGAAGACTTCCACGACGTTATATTCCCAGATGTTAGTATTTTTGGTTCTTACTATGTTTTCATCATATATTTGCTTTTATCAACACTTACCTCTTGACATTAATTATTTTTTTTGAGATATTATTATTTTGGCCACCATACAACAACACAACACAAGACTTAACATACTTGTAGTTTGAATTATAACCACTAGAAAACGATTACAGTGCTGATTTGGCTTAAAGGAAGACATTGAAATCACTCCTATTCCTTCATAAAGCTACCAAATGTAAGTATAGTCTACCAAGCTCTATTTATGTCGCAAGCTTCAAGTCTTTGTTTTTTTATGACCGTTGCATTCTTCAACCAAACCTGGGTGACCAGCTCTTCTTCCGAGTAAGGTCTTATTAGAACAATGTCGGAAACATAATCATTAAACTAACAAATTACGTTTCACATCGTACATGTGATAAAAAAAATGAAATTTATTTTCACAGGGATTTATTGCATTATATAGAAATTTAACACCATAGTTTTAGCGTTTATTCTGTTAATATCATGTAGAAAGTGGAACAAATGCGTCGCATATACTACGACGTGAATGACGTGGATGTGATGGCGGCCATCTACAGTGAGAAGCTGATCGATGGTGGATACGTGGGACCGACGCTCTTCTGCATCATTGTCCATAATCTACTGCATTGGCGCAAGTCCGACAGGCACTTCTTCGAACATGGAGACATACCAGCTGCCCTCACGCTACGTGAGTTGTACATATTATTATTACTTGCTGTGCCCGCGACTTCGTCTGCGTGGGAAGTATTTTGGTAGAATTCTTTTTTCCTATGAGTGGAGTCAAATCGAATAAAATCAATGGCCCATAACCCACTATGCGGGCTTAATGCGGATCGGTGGGTGTTAACGTTGCTGATGCAGCCAGGAATAACGGCTTAACATGCATTGTACTAGTGTTGTGCACAGTGCTCAACTCAAGATAATAATGCTTTGATCACCCATCCTGTGATCTTTTTCTCGTTTCTCGCGCTCTGGTTGTCGCTTGTGTCTGAGCATTTTATTCGTACCTTTAAACTGTCCTTCTTTTGCTTTTGATCTTTTTAAATTATTATTATTTGTCTACTTGTGTGCACAATCGGCTATTTATTGTTCTATTTTCCATGTAATGCTAGGTTGCCTGGAAGAAATCGCACTCATCGCTAGAGTTTGTCGTTTGTACTTAGTCATGTAAAATAAGTATTCATGTAAGTCCTTGTTGTGCAGTATTTACTTACTTATTCAACTGCAATTTAAACCGATGCGCTAACCCACTACGCTATTGGACCTCTTATACCTAAGCTATACTAATATTATAAAGAGGTAAGATTTGTTTGTTTGTCTGTTTGCATCGAATATGCTCCGAAAGTACTGAACCAATAGTTTCAAAGCGATTCCGACCTACGGGAAGCTACATCAGACCTGGATGTCATAGGCTATAATTTTGCAGCAAAGTCGAGGGAAAACAGCTAGTTCATTATACGCTGTGAAAACTTATCTTCGGTACGCCTGTGTAGTATGAACGCAACACGGGTTGGCGATAATAGAAACTACATTCTCGATCTTTATTGTGCAAACTGCGAGCTCTTTCAGAGACCAAGCACATTTCTCTGTCAAAGGAAGTTTCATACTCATACCATATTGCATGTATGTTACGATCAGCAGTTAGACGCGCTATGCGATCTTCAGAAGTTTCCTGTGATCAAACGTTTGTTGTATGAGTTCTCCGAGAGCTCAAAAGATTGGTAAATGCTTACGGTAAATACTTTAGATTCAACTTTATAGTGCATGAGCCTCGTGATGGGCAGTTAAATACGCTTCGCGTTTTTCAGGTGTCTCCCGAGACCGAGCGCTTTCCAAAATACGTGGAGTTTTATTTATTGATATAAAAAAAATATATACATATATTAATTTCGACTTTCCACACTCGAAGGAAATTGTCTACTAACACATACTTCCGAGTGAGATTTGAACGGCCCTAATCATCATCATCATCAGCATTTTTACGTCACCAACTGCAGGAGCTTAGGCCTTCCTTATGGATGGTTAAGGAGGAAGGACCACGACCCTCCATGCTGGCCCAATGCGGATTGAAGGATATTAACGACTGCAAATACAACCGGACCAATCGCTTTACGTGCCTTCCGAAGTTAGGAGTTGCTTGAGATAATATTTTTTTGGTCACCCATCTTGTGACCGATCTTTGCGAAAGTTGCTTAACAACTACAATCGCAAGCCATGACGCTTATTCACTTTGCCACCAAGCTACTCTGAACCGACCCTCAACCTCGCGTAATGAGTGTTGTGACCAATGAATAAACCATTGTTTCCAGCGAAGACTGAAAATACCAACTTTGAAGTATGTTAAAAAAAAGGTATTAACATAAAAAATAGAAAAGAAATATATTACTCGAGTTGTCTTTACGTTCTTAACTTCACTTTGACGTGAATCTAACTTTTTAACGTTGTGCAAAATCTTCTGACATTGTCTCTGTTACCTGGCAAACAACAGGGGATGAGTAGGATTCTCCTCCGTGAACCCGACAGTGAGCTGCTCAGTGGGTCCCCAGAGGCCTACCCACCAAAACCCGTACGCTACACCCTCTCATCGGAGATGAAACCCGGCAAGCTATGGCCGAGTCACCAGGACACTCAAGTATTTTACCATTGGTCCCCTTGTAGATGGAAAATTGGAGAGGCTCGGGTAAATCGAGTGCCTCTCCCAGACAGACGAAACCGTGCAATGCGGGGGCGGTTGCCAACCACCTCCGCTGGCCCCGACGACAACGTGAACCTAATCTGATAAAAATATGCGTTCACTGCAAACTACTCGATGCTTAATTGCATCATCGGAAGGCTCTTTTTGCTTGTTCTCCTACTCGCGTGATCGTATACCAAACGTCCATTATAAGCTGAACCCCAATATAAAATGAGGTCGACTTACTTTGGAATAGTCAAAATTTTGGAAACTTATTCTTTATTTGTCATCATACAAATTATCATTTTATACACAATATTAATTCGTAGCTCGGTGGCGTTACGGATAAGCGCCGCTGCGCACGATCGCTATTGCTAAGCAATTTTCGCAAGAGTTGTTCATGGGATGGGTGACCAAAAATTATTAAATAAAGGCCTGAGGCCCTGCAGTTTGACTGTGAAAGAGTTTATAATGATGATCAATATATCAAAGACGAAAATTAAATAAAACAGTTAATATTTCATAGCAATTTTAGCGACCACGTCACTTCAAATTGACATAACTTTTTTATTTGTGAACCGATTGAACTAAATCTCACACTAAATGTTAACGGAAGAATACCGCAATATAATAATGAAAACTGCATTTAAATCGGTTTAGCCGTTTCTGAGATTATCGTGCACAAACGCACAGACAAACAGACAATCCGACAAACAGATAAACAGACAAAAAAATTAAAAATCATTGTTTTGTGTTCTATTACGCTTATAAATGTCTCTCATAACAGTATTTTTCATATATCTTCAATGTACAGACATCGATCGGTTACGTTTTTATTATAGTATAGATTAGTTAGTAATTAATTCCCATTGTGTAATAAACTAATTTTATTTGTTCTTGTATTATGGCAAACTTGAGATATGGTGGCTGAACATCTCGATGGCACAGTAAAGCAACTTTCACAAGGGACCCTCATAGGACGGATGGTCAAAATATATTATGTTACGCTCCTCTATGTCTTGGAGGACTTTAATCCGTTCGCCCCAGTTACATCCGCAGTCATTAACCGCACTAGCCAGTTTGGGCGTGGTGAATCATGTCAAATTCTCCCTTTGTAAGGAAAAGTTCCTAACTAGTGTTTAATTAATTAATTCTCGATGAATTATTTAACTAAACACCACCATCAAAGGTCACCGCAAGAGCGTGACTTTTTGATATTTGCTCCTTTTCTATCGATTAAACTAGCTAATCTTGATGCTACCAACAAAGTAAACTGCCAATGTGACTATAACCTCTATGAATTTTTCAGTTCAACTAAATGAAATAAGGAAATCAAGTGCAGCCAGACTTCTATGTGACAACGGAGACAGAGTGGATGACATTCAACCGAGAGCGATATTGAATGCTGGACCCGGGTAACTTATGTCACGTTTATAATCTTTTTTATTTAATTAGCATCGATTTAACGTACCAATATCCAATCTCATCGATTAAAAAGACGTTATTTAATGAAACATTATTCACTTATCGACAAATTTACTAAGATCAATCGTATAATTCATTTCAGGAATGAAATAAGATCGTGCGAAGCAATACCCACAATGGATCTAGCCAAATGGACAGACAAACGGTGCTTCCACAATGACAAAATAAACGACCACGAACAGGAACATAAGTAACATCAGAGCAATCCGTACAGTTATTGGAATCATAATTATTGAAAGAAATTGTAACAAACAATTTTCTTGTGTTACTTGCCGAAACCGATTTCTAAACAAAAAAATATTAAATTTATTTCACCAAAACAAAAAATGAGTTTATTTATTTAATAAAAAACATAGAAAAATACGATTGGTTTATAACTTATCCATCCATTCAAGAAGGTTAACAAATTTTGCATTTACAATACAGTGTTCATATTTATCGTATATAAAAATACTAAAAAACTCATCAGTCCCGAGTGCCTGAGATGAAATTCGAACCCATAATCTTTTGCAAACAAAAACTTCAAAGAGTAATCTTCCTGCATCTGGTTTACCACTGGTGAAGTCTTTAAAGTATTGTTTTGCAATAACTATCTCTATAATTTAGCAAGCCCGGGGACTAATTGCCTAATTTAAAAATCTATCGCAATACCTCTCAATTTGTCATTTAAAAGGTATGCACGAACTTCACGCTACAACTCTTTATCATGTGATAGCGATTAAACGATTTCGTTTATTTGAAATATTTGAATTTCCTTACAATGCGTTAAAAGCTTGAAACCTATTGAGCGATGTTAAACGAAACAGTTGATCATTAATATTTAATATTAACTTACTTTTCCTTGATCATTCAAATCATCATAGGTACCAGAAGTGATTCCGACTTTAAAAGTTACACAATCACCATATCGAAATCGAGGCGCACGCAGACGGTTATGAATCAAGAGACTTGTACCGCAACATCGGTCTCATCATAAAAACGCTGCCGTCTAAAACTTAGACTATTGAAGATTATATTGGCCACATCGTCACTATACTAGACCAAACGAGAGTCTAGAGGAACTACTATCAGTCGGTAACGATCCCCAGGCGATCAAAATTTTATAACCACAGAGCCTACGAGCGAAATATTTGAACCAGGTATTCTTGAATCAGAAGTAAGAGCCGCTATTCATCATCTTAAGAATGAGAAAGCAATAGGGAATGATGAAATCCCGATCGCAATAGGATATATGACGTTAACATCTTCTACACCATCTGCAGCTGCATGGCTTCCAAGCCAATGGACTCACATTGATTTGTCTCGTCTTCATAAAAAGAGTTCGACTAAGAAATGTAGCAACATTCAACTCATTAATGGTTAGTTGCACAAACGTCCATTAAGGTTTAACGACGCCTTTAAGTTTTAATGAATGTCAAATTTGTATGGGTAATGTTGCTTTGAACTAATGTAAATTTTAATGGACGTTTGTGCAACCTGCTGTAACACATGCAAGTAAAATAATATTACATATTATAAACGAACGATTTAAAGCATATTTGTCCAGAGATATTGCGCCAAAATAATCCAGTTTTTTAAAAGGTAAAGGTACCCATGAGCAAATTCTCATCGTTTGTCAAATCATCGAAAAATTTTGCGAATTCCACAAGCCAACATACATATGCTATGTTCATATCTCCAAAACGTTCGACTCTGTGAGATGGAGCGCGTGAGTCTTACGTTTGGATTAAAGATTAACCGGTCAAAGACCAAGATTATTATCGTAGATCGCGTCAATAATAACTGCCCAGAGATTACAGAGTTCGCGAACTGTAATGTGGTTAATGCTTCTTATACCTGGAGGCTTTAATCTCAAACAATGGTAGTTGCGTAGATGAAGTAAAGCGTCGTATGGCCATTATCAGAGCCACAGCAGAGAATTTGAGGAAAGTATGGAAGAAACGCAACATCACCAAAACCACCAAAATCAGGCAAATACGAACTTTGGTATTCCCAATCTTCTTTTATGCGGCAGAGGGGAACATAGGCTTGGCATATTGTGGACAGAGTTTCGCACCAACGTGTCCATACTCCACGAACTCGACATTACAAAGCGTTTATTCCTTGTAATAAGGACTGATCAAATGAAATTAGCCGTGGTCAACTGCACCAGACAGTCAGCAAACAGGGAAACATGGCGAGAGATTATGAGGAGGGCTGTGTCCTCCTCTAACATTAAGTATATTTAAATATATTTTTTAATTATATTTACCCTTATTTTTATAGATTATTGTCAGTCTCTATATTGCTTTGATTACATGGATATTCAGAAACTGTGTCTTTTAGTTCTATCCTTAATAGCTGCTGATAATAATAACAATAGCATCAAAAACACTTTAATTTAGACATACCAACATTGTAATATATTTATAATTTGCAACTGAGATCAAAGTCGGGTGCATAGCTAGCGACGTTCAGGGTTATCATTAATTATATACCTAACCCAATAGCTAATACCTTTTTGGGGTTCCGTAAATAGTATCCATCTTACAGTTTCTGTTGATCAGTTTCTTGATGATTCTCAACAACTTAAGTTTTTTACTTTTGACAATTAGGACCGCACTTAACTTTAAATACATCATTCAGAAACCGGGTATTAATGTGTGTTTCGCCTCGATAATTTTAGCTCAGATACTGATAATACCAGAAGGCTATAGTTTGATATAGTAGACAATGATAAAATGAAATCTAAACACATACAGAGCTACCTATATCTCGCTCAGGATAGAGGTAGCTCAATATTAGACTTCTAAGTTTTAGTTCATAAATAAGTTGTTTTTGGTTACGTATACAAACTCACAACACTAGCCTTTATTTATAGTTAAATTGAAACGCAAAAAGAATAATAGTCGACCAATATTTTACATGTAAAGAAGGAATTCGATACAAATTAATCAAGTGGTTGTGTAAAGAGTAGGTTCTTAATTTAAACGAGAAAATATGTAACCTTAGAGTAAAGCCTAGTGAGCCGTTTCATTTACTGCCAACGTCGAAGCTACGGAACGCGTTACAACCCTATTCCTACTCCTTCATTTGGAGAGCATTAAAAGACTCTAATTATATAATTCGGTTAAATATTCTAAACATGAATGAATAAACATCAATTATTAAGCTATAATTTTGAGGATGTGGCTGTAATTAAGGTATTTGTATTCTACCCACCAAATCCATATAAAGATCTGAAAATTTTCAAGTTTTTGTTATAGTTCCAAATATGCGTGCGTTTGTTGTCTGTGTGTTGTTGTTTATTCACTGTGCGTACGCGCAGGTCTTGTACGATGCATTCTTCGGGAAGCCGCTGAAAACTGACAGAAGAAACTTCCTCAACTCTATAAACGCGACGAGGTAAGTAGAATGTTATAAATTTACACATATAAAGATCTAGTGACTGAAATAATTAATTTATTATTATTCTATTATATATGTAGTTTTCATTTATTATGTATCATTATTTTATAGTTTAGCTCTGGGATACTTTTGTGACTCATTCTCCTCATCAGAATAGCAGAATTCAGATATTTAATCTATTTTTGTTGTGTTTCCTTGTATTGTTATTCGTTATTTTTCAATTTTAATTACTTTGTTGTATATGAATGAAAATAGTTAAATCCAGTTTAAAATAAACAACTTCAAATTTAATGCGCACCTATGTAACTTGCAAGTAGATAAAAAAAAATCGTTAGCTGTCACATAGAATTTAGTTTTTCCTCAGCTCATGCACGATCCTAGTGGAGCCATGTAAGAAGCATGAAGGCCGTCGCGTGGACGGGACCTGCGCTAACCCCAAGTACCCGTCACGTGGAGGTACTCGCACTCCCCTACTGCGGATGCTGCCGGCCAGCTACGGGTTAGGTAATTTCTACTGATATAATTTTTGATATTGCTAATCGTTTTTTATCTCAAAATTTTTATTCCAGATATATATTACAAAGCTTAAAATACACGTGTAAAGAAAAAGCAGTATAGAAGTGGACTCAAGGAAATATAAACATATAAATTCTTTTAAAATCTTCCAAATCATTATTTTGTTTTTGTAAATATTTCCCCGCTAGTCGTTTTTTTTTCCATTGTGCATTTTTTGTATTAGAAAAATTTATGATTAATATTTGGCGTACGATTTTCTTGAACTATAACAACAACACTAATGATATTCCTCGTACGTGAACATGCCATATATTGTTGTACATAAGTAAAGCGACTGAGTTAAATCAGGTTAGGGCCAGTTTTTGATCCGTAGTCAAATGTCATTTCACCATTTGTTAACTTGACTATAGTTAAAACATTAACAAGTTGTTAACTCGCTATTTCGTTTTTAGATGCCAAATTAAACCATAGCCAAATTTAACCACTGGCCAATTTGTTGCCAGCACAATGAGTCATTTTTTCGCTATACATTGACATGGGTAATTTTTTTCTGGGTGACAACACTAACGGTTTGAATGAACGGAGCGAACTATATACCATTTTTAACATTAGGATATTGTTCCAAATATCAAATAGACGAAAGAAATCTATAGATTATCAAACAGTGTGGATGTTTATGTTTGTTCTGTTGTGTGCACTATATGTTATTTTTCAGGAAATATAAAGCAATTTCTTTAATAATGTTAGAAAGCAATAAAGATATGTTTTAACTTTTTTTTATAAAAAAGCATATATTTGTTTTTATTTATCTTATAGAGAAATACGTGAAAAGAATATAGTATCTAGTATCCAAGGTGGGATTGTAATGTTGGAAAATAAATCGAGGACTATGTATTTTATGTACTGTAGTCATATTTACCTTTTGTATTGTCTATTCGTGGAATTTATAAGATTTTTAATAATTTGGCACCTGCCCGTGGAAACAAGAAAAATTATTTTATATAGTACAAATATACTAAGGATGATCAAGATAAAAATATAACTTATTTTCAATAACCCAATAACCCAAAAATTATTAATCAAAAACATATTTTTCTAATATTTAACCATTTGTCAAAGATTTTAACAAATGGTTGAGCTAACCACAGGTCAAAAAACTGGCCCGTCAAACAAAATAAGCAAACATAATTTAACACCCCTCAGTGAAGTATCTATTAAAATATAAAGTTAAAAGACATCCAAGTATTAATATTAAGTTATATTACTATTCTAAAACAAACGAAACCTACTTCAGAAAAAATAAAATAAATGTAATATGTGCACATACACATTAGAAGTTGACAATAAAGTTGTTAAAACAGAGGTAGTGGTTGCCGATATATTTGAAAACTTCTTTTCTAAGACACCAATAGAAATCCCTAGAAATCTTAGTTCATGTTCTAGATTTGGGGTTACTCATCTAGAGTCAGTTGTTGATAAGTGCAATACTGAATTTTATTTTAGACATGTTAACGACAACTCAATTATTAAAACCTTAAATTCCATTAATATCAAAAAACCGAAGACCTTTGGGACGTTTCAACTTATGTTATCAAATCTATAATACCATCTATAGCGTCTCAATTAACTTTTATTTTTAATAAATGCATTGATGAAGGAACTTTTCCTGATTTAATGAAATATGGTAAAATAATCCCACTTTTCAAAGCAGGGAACAAGTCTGATCCCAGTAATTTCAGACCACTATCTACCAGCGCTAAGTAAAGTAGATCGTCCATATCGGAGGACTATCTTTAAAATAACACTGTATACCAATGTGTATTTACTCCATTTTATCACTTTTCATACGAAAATATAACGAGATGAGCGTGATGTCGTCGAATGTCTTTACTCCTCGGCGATCGGAAACAGAATGTGTGCCAATGTGGCGGCAATTTGCTTTTTGTTAACGAACTGTCAAAGTCAGTGTCACCATTCTAATAAAATTAAAAGTATCGATGATCACGCCCTCTTCACAATTGAGTAATTAAGTAATCGAGTAACAATCAATTAAAAAAAAAAGAAACTAAATCAAATGATCTTCGTAAAGATGATGCGACACATATAAGTCGATATTCCCGAATATATGTAAATAAATAAATCCGATGCTTAATTTATTATTCAATACGGTGATCGAATTATTAACTGAAGGCGATTATCAACTGCGTGTTATATAGAAACAATTATTAGTATAATAAATTCAGTACGTAAATGTAAACGGAAATGTGTTAAATGTTTTAGCACGATTACTCTACTGCATGCATTAATTGACTATTCTGTTAATGACTTAGCTACTATTTATTATATTATATCATACTGAAAAATATTCTTTATATCAAATTCTTAAAAAACCCACTTTGTCCCAGGGACAGTGGACAAGTTTGACACTTAAGTGATTGAGAAGCACTGTATCAGTTTATTGAACATTTATACAAATTTTGCATTATAATTTTGTTAACAGTAAGCTTAGTGTATATGGCAGTTATTATATTAATTCCTCCAAAAGGCAGCTACATAATAAAATCATTGGAATAGGAGCCTGTGCTGTTGTTTTAATGATACAAACGAGACTGTGTCGCAGCTTGTACAGACTACTTTTGACTCGCGTGTGTTTCTCATCTATATCACTACGAAACGCGCGTCGACGGTGCGTTTAGAAAACACAGCGTACTTTGTTGCGACGATCGATTTTAGCCAAGTACATACAGTTTCTTTCGATTGCTCAATTATTCCATACTCGAGTACTGTTAAAAACCTTGGTGTAATCTTTAACCAACATTTCCTGAAAACCTCAAATTTAATATTTGCCGCATACATTTCGCTCAATCGTTTGCTAATTTTTCCACCTATGAGAATAAAAACCACACTTGCACAAACACTATTGCTTTATATCATTGAATACGTTGATTTTTGTTACACCGATGTGTCTGTGGAACACCTTGATAACTCTTGTATAATATAAATAGAGGATTGAATAACTAGCCACAGTTATATTAATGTAATCAACAGATTATCTATCTATCTTTCAAAATCTCTGTGGATGGTCGGCTATAGACGTCGTCTATACGGATCAGTAAGGCATTCGATATGATTCACAACGACATTCATTTAGCCAAACTAGCTCCTTTTTGTGTTAAAGCTGACTTATCAGAATAGTTTCATCCTTTATATAGATCGTTCAACTATCAACACTGTTATATCAAGTTGAGGTAAACTAACTGTAGTACCTTAAGGATAATTTCTTGGACCTCTACTCGTCCAAATATTACTAAAGATATTCTACTTCAACTAAGCCTTGTACTCGAAAAAACCGAAATTGAAAAAAAAGATCTCTATTTAGATGACGAACTTTATCATTTCAACTATACAAATTATTATTGCTATATGATTTATAGCTCTTTTATTTTTATGACATTATTAATTACGCAATTCCTTATCTTAGCATTTTTTATTGTGACATTTAATCTTGGAAACGATAATGATTGTACTAATTTTAGTTAATTTGTTAATTTTGGATAATAATTTTATTTAATTAATTATGTTGATAATTTGACTGTTTTTACCAGTAATGAAGAATTAATTTAATTTAATATTTGCATGCTATCTTCGTATGGCTAAATAGGTTTTAAGTTTTAATTAATTGCTATCAAATTTTACCCTATTTATTAAAAAATAAAACTTAATATTGCTACATCTGTTGGTAAGTTTTTATTTAAGGTTGAAACTATTGGAACAACTCTTAATTGGAGTCATATCAACTTGAAAAAAATAAAAATTTCAGGTAACACGTTAAGGACATCGTTGAACGGCTCGGAACTGCCGTCCACCCGACTCCTGCGCACAAAACTCCTGAGCGACGGTTACCCTACGGACCACAACTTTAATTCTCTCGGCGCTCACCTTGGTGTCTTCTCTTTCATAGACAGCGTCGACTTGAACGTCTTGTGTAAATAGTTCTGTTTATATATCAAAACAAAGTAACAAAATGAAATGGCAATTTAGTTTTTAAGGTGTATGTGAGGTTTATAGAGAACACACTACATTTTTATTGATATTGTCGGCATATTTCTGGGCCTTGCCAAGACTCAGTCACAATATGGGCTCTATTAAAAACTTAACACTCTTATTAATAAACATGGACTTAAGCTAGATTAACTTTACTCCAAGTATTAAGTCAGTAGTTACCAATTGTTGTATTAATAAACTAAGAGTAAGGAATGCAAAACTAATCTGACTTTAATCTGTGCTAGCTAGTTTAGACAGCGATCAGGCAGGCGTAGTGTACATAGAGTATAAAAACTGTTTTTTTTTATTATTATCATAGCAAGAGATTATTTTATCAATGTTTTAGAAGAATTAGATGATTTAAAAGAAATAATATTTAAAACTTGCTTAAAAATATTCCTATTACTATAGGTATAAAAGTTTGTATATTATTAGTTTGCTTGTATAGTATATGTATGTTTTATTTGTAATGAATCTAACTCATTAATAATAATTACTTATGAAACAAATCATGTTGAACCTTTAAAAAAATCTCCTCTATGGTCAAACTTCATTGTCAAACTTAAGAATTAAAGAATAAGTATAATAGACTTCGATCTTTGGCGTCTGTCTAAGTTTGAAAGCTAATATAGACAAACGCCGTCCAAGTGACTCTATTTAATTCACCATCTCATTCTTTTTACTTTTAAATTCATATGTATTGCCATAACTCACGCGTTAAATCAGGCTTAAGGTAGGTTAAGGTATTGTTGAAACGAGGATACTCCATGTTTATTAATAACATTGCTAAAACCAAGTTAATACTCTATTACTCTGGAATCAACTAGTCCAAGTGTAACATTGTCTAAGAACATGTTATATTTATTAATAATACTATAGAAGTATAATGTATTTGTGCTGTGTCTGTTAGAAGCCAGTGTGTCAAAGTAAGTAATCATATGAACAGCATTAAATCTATTACCTTTGATATAGAGGCATTCTAGGACCAGAACGGATTTACAAACTTATACGAAATATCGATAAACATTCCAAATACTTACGATAAATTCTACTATGCTGACGATATAGTTCTAATCTCTCACAACGACTCTTGGGAACTGATATTTCAACGAACGTTTTTCTTATCGTCCTCGATAAATTATTAAATACTCATATGTATCATAGTCAGATTCATACTGGTGAGCGACTGCTGCATCGGTAACACACCGAACCGCGTGAATCCGCTATGTATCTCCATACCGGTGGCGGCTGATGACCCGTACCTGCGCCGTACCGGTATCCGCTGCATGAACCTCACGCGCCAAGATACCTTTCAGGAGAGAGGCTGTGTATCCAACACCATACCGGCAGAAAGGGTAAATAACCGAAATGAATAAAACCTCTAACTGCAAATGAAAAACAAATCAAATGTTTGGTATTTTCACGAGGAGTACGAGACTAACAATGAAAGAGAAATGGACAAACAAGTCCGGCCTTGTTTGTCCTCTTATATAGAGCATCTTATATATTTTAAAAATCTTTATTTTACTTAGTCTTCAGCAATATACATTTTAAATGAAATACACATAATAAGATCGATTGTTTAGAAGGAAAAAATAACGAAGCACGGTAACCGTGTATACCTCCGTGTGTATATGTGCAATGATGCGTAACTCAAACGAGCATCTATAATTACTGTTTCTAACCAGGCCGGACGCATAGTATTATGTTTAAGATAATGGCACTAATGATAACGTTTGTATGATGCTGGATAAATTAACATAAATTAATTTGCCTCTTAATTTGTATGAACACATGAACACGCACCACATGTGAAAAATAATTATAAAATTAATGAAAGATACTTTAACGATTTGACCTCAAACGAATTCTTTTTTTAAAGATAAGTTAACTATCTTTTGTTCTAGTACAATTTACCAACCCCGTTATTAGACTTATCTGTCGTTTACGGGTTTACGAATGAGCGAGAAAGACAAATTCGAGAATACAAAGATGGCTTACTGAAATCAGAGAAACGCAACGGCCTGGATTATCCACCTGGCAATGGAACCATCTGTATTTTGAACAGAAGACCGATTGAAAATGCTTGCTACGAATTTGGTAAGCATTTTTATTTGTATCACCACATTCGAGATCTATTTACTCATATCAATCAATCATTTATTGCATAAAATATGGTGTAACAGATGTTATAAAATAAGCGTATCACATATTTACTGTTTGACAGTGTGCAATAGTTTTAGTAGTTATATAAATTTACATTTTAATATATTCATGCATTAACTATGATATTATTTTATTCGCACATCATTCACTTAAAAACATTTCATTCAGTTCCTATTACATATTATTTCAGTCTTATAGTTTAAAATTAAGTAATAGTAATAATGTCAAAGTGTTTTATTATCTGATGATGATTTGCATGATAAAAATACAACCATGTTTATAAAAAAAATATATAAATAAGTCATTTTAATTATCTATCTCTCCTTTTATGTATTTCCTTATGCGAAATATGCCCTTTTGTCGAAACACTTATATTGAGCAATTTGAGTTTCTCACAGGTGATGAGATTGGCGCTAATCTTCTCCCCGGTATATATTTGAGTGCAATGTGGTTCTTCCGGAAACACAATCATCTAGCACGAGAGCTGGCAGAGATCAACCCATGCTGGACAGACCAGGAACTATTCGAGACAGCGCGGTACATCAATATCGCGGAGTGGCAACACATGTTTTATTACGAAATCATGGCAGAGTTTTTAGGTAAAATGTGTAGTGATGGTGTTATCCTATTAAAAGCTTTACCGTTAATAACTTGATCTTCTTATATGCAATATTCTATGATTACCAGGTAGGAAGAATGCCTTAAGTACTGGAATAATACACGACACACAGGGATACGTCAATGATTTTGATGAGCATTATGAGCCAGGAGTCTACCACGAGTACGTTGTCGGAAGTCGCTGGTTCCATACCTTCCAAGACGGGCGGATGGAGTGAGTCATTCTGTATTTACCCATTTAAATTTAGCAGTCGTGTGTATAAATATTACACATTCGATTAGGTTATGTGTGATAGATTGTTTATCTACGTTTTTTCATGTACTTATGGGATATACGAGTATAATAAAATACCGGATAGCTATAAGAGCTTACCAATAAACGCTTTTAAAAAACGGCTGAGATTGATTCTAGTTGAGTAAGTGTATAACTCGGTTTTGAAATTTATAAATGACAAAACCGTAAAATAGGTGGACATAGGCTGGAAACAAGACTATGTAAATATAAATGTAATTATAGCATTTAAAATGTATATTACCACTTAAATATTGCTGCATATCGATTTTATAATTGACATTATTGCTATACCTATAATTTTTTAGCAGAAAACGTATTCCTGAAACTAGCAATTAATTCTCTAGAATAATTAACACCAAGACAACAGTAATTTTATGTAATGAAAATGTAAAATTACTCTCTTGAAAATAAGGGATTATAATGATGACGATGTTTTTTAATCTTTACATGTAAATTTTTTTGGTTTGTAATGGTCCGTACCCTTAGATAACAGCTATGTTGTTTTCCTACAGGATCGAAACTATGCCGTGACTGGCCAGCTATATAGTGGGGATGTGCTTATGTCTGTGCATAGGGATATGAAAATTATGTCTCAATCCGGATTCCACTCGAGTGCTGAAAATCATTGGTTATTGTTAACACTGAGACTAAAAAGTACTCAGTGCCCCTTGAAATTACTTATTTGTGCGCTTTATTTATGTAACGAAAATGGAGGCTTACATTTTTCCAACAGGTGATGAGATATCCGTATGATAAATATTTAATAGCAGGAGATTTTAATTTGAGTAATATACATTGGGTAGAAACTAGTGTTGATAGTTCTTACTACAAACCTTCAATCTTTAGTACTAGTGATGAGATTTTACTTGATTTAAAGAAATTCAATGGCATTAAGAATACCTATTGGAGGACTTTGGACCTTTTACTATCTGAAGACAATATCCAGGTAATAGATTGCAGTGACGATCTACTTGTACCGATCGATTTACACCATGGCGCTTTGAATTTTGATTTAGAATTTGCAAATTTTGTTTCCTTATATGATGCCCCTCGCATAAAATATATTTTTAGTAAAGGCGATTATAATACAATGAGTAGCTCGGTGGCGTACTGGATAAGCGCCGCGGTCCGTGATCGTAGTCGTTAAGCAACTTTCGCAAGGGTCGGTCACGGGATGGGTGACCAAAAAATTATTATCTCGAACTACTCCGTGCTTCGGAAGGCACGTTAAGCCGTTGGTCCCGGCTGCATTTGCAGTCGTTAATACTCTCCAATCCGCATTGGGCCAGCGTGGAGGGTCATGGCCCATCCTCCTTAACCATCCATAAGGAAGGCCTGAGCCCCTGCAGTGGGGACGTAAAAAGGGCTGGTGATGATAATACAATTAATTCAGATATTATTAAAATAGACTGGCATTATAAATTAACATCTAAGCCACTAAAAGCGGCAGTAGAGTATTTTTACAATATAATATTAAGAGACCGATATACGCCACGCCAAATTATTATTACCGACAACTACACTAAGGGCAAAAGGGCTGGCTTTAAAGAAAAGAGACAACAATCTTTCAAAGTTCTAAGGGATATAAAACATTTGAAAAAATATGCTATAGTGAGTATATAAGTTCAATTGAAGATTCACTGAAGGATAATCCAAAAACATTTTGGTTTTTTATTAAATTTAAGACAAATTAATGAATTACCCAACAATATGAACTATGATAGGTCTGTATTTATTTGCACTAGATAGTCAATCTGCTATGCTTTTTCTCAATTTTTTCATTCTAACTTCTTGCACGCTCCTACATCTCTAAACATTTCAGTGTTATTACAAAATAGGTAAGCGCGCGTTGAACACGTGTTTAAAAATTTTTCTATTACAAAATCGTATTTAAGCATTGTTGTTATTAAACATATTTTCTTACGATTAAAATTTATCATAAGTCGGCATACAATGGGCATATAATGAAACGTGTATGAACGAATGAAAGTCAATAAGAAATTATTTGAATGAATTGAATGGCGCCATTTAACGCCCTTTAATTGAATGGCGCCATTCAATTTCATTGAAGGGCTAGCCGCCCAATTGGTCGACTGATTATACTACTTGGCTACGACATTTAATAAAAGCATTAGTTCCCGAAATCAAACTAAATGTCGCTACGGTACTTTCTTGATTTCTCCATGACAACCCTTCCGGTTTTCTTTCATGTATAAAAGTAAATTAATTTTCAAAACTCAATAAACAACTTATATTCTATTCGCACTTTTTCCTATTTGTATTGATATCTAAGTTTCGAACTTGGCAAATTTCAGTTTTTTAATTTGATACGGGGAATATACATAAGGGAACGGATTTGGTTCATTCGATTCCCGCATAACATGCATAACTTTTGCTAGAGTCGCCATCTAGTGAGGTGAGGTGCTTTTTTAGTGCTTTCTTTTTTTCTTAAAATACTTCCTTATTAAAAGAGTGTTTTATGGGTTGCGTGTTTAAATCAGTGTTAGACAACGATTAATAGACTTGTAATAGACAAAGTTAAATATTACTTTAACTTTATCTATTACAAGTCTATTAACGGGTTTATATTCTTAGACATTGTTTAGTTAAACAAATAGTAAACCCTGTTTAACATTTCTTTTGTATTAACACTGTTTAAATTTGGCCTATTCGCCTCCTACCATTACCAATATTACCAAAATCATTATTGATACCGACGAATTGACCAGACTTCTGTCAAAATGTGCTGGTTCAGATTTAGTGCCAGTTGTCTTCCTCATAAATTGTTCTTAAACCTTTGCCATTCCCATTTCTATTCATTAACAGAGGGTATTGTTCTCAGTATGTGGAAGCAAGCTTATTTTACACAAAAAAAAGGTCTAGATCAGACATTACCAACTACCGCCCAATTTGTAAGCTCTGTATTATTTCTAAGGTATTGGAAAAAAAATTACGAGCAACTTCACTCTGAATTAAAATAGTCATTCAGCTCAACACAGCATGGTTTCCTTAGGGGTCGTACAATTGTGTCCAATTTAGTCTTACTCAATGAATCGCTTACTTTTGCTATGAATAATGGCTTTCAGGTCGATGTAATCTAAATGCAGCCAAATGTAATGTTTTCACCTAAGTACAGCAGGAAGCGGAATCTGATATTATTTGATTATGTGGTGAACGTTCTCACAGAGTATCCAGAAAAGTCAAGGTGGGATATAGTCGTGAGTGACATTAGCGTTTTTCACGACCATACATTGATTTTTGATAATCATATCGACAGTATTATTACAATTACAAACGCATCCAAGGCTGTTGGATTTGTGATGCGTAACTCCAGAGACTTCACATAGGATAAAACACTTAAAATTCTTTATTGCACATTCGTCCGTTGTCACCTGAAATACGCTTCGCAGATCTGGAACCCTAGATACCAGACATACATATCGCGATTAGAAAAAAATCAAAACAAACAACTCTTTCATTCGAGTCGTTATGAGGAAATTTGTAAGAAACATCACTTGCTCTGTTTAAAAATCACCGTGACATCACTGATCTGGTTTTTCTCATCAAAATTGCTTGTTGTGCTGTCGGTTTTCCTGAACTCCTATCAACGATCACTCTTAGGGCCCGTCAAAAACAACTCAGATTCAATCCTGATGTTGAGGATCGTCAGCTGGACCGAACTATTTTTATATGTTGTCTATGTTTTGTAGTTTTTTTAATATATATTTGTTTTTATTTAATTTCGTTTTGATATTGACATATGGTTCTTATTTTTTTGATTGACACATGCTTTGGCGAGAATTTTGCTTTGTGGACAATATAAGTATTTGTGAAGGTAAGCTTTTTATTTTCGGACCTGTGCCCACACCATTCTTCGTCACCCTCTTCGTCGATAACACTTTTTTCTATATTTAACCTCAATTTCTTCAAAAATTTCGGCGCAATTCATTTCTATGGCATGCGTGTAATAAATATAATGAACTATCAAAGCGAATAAACATCGACCTTTTTAACATTAGCCTTTATAACACTAAAAACTTTCAAAAATAGATTATCATTTTTTTTAAGTTTTTAAGTGTTATAAATTTAATTATAGTGTAAGTAGCGTAGTCTATATCACTATCGTAATTGTAAGCGGTCTTTCTTACTTTTACACTATATGTGACGACCTGTAAGTGGCTTTCTGATTTTAGCTAAGATTTTGATTTTGTAATTTTTAGCTGTCGGTACATAAATAAATAATCGACAAAATATGTAGCAAAATTTAATTGCGAAATCTGTCACAATACAATATTAGTAAACGTGTAGTGTAAATATGAGTTACAAGTTTATATATTTCAGAACATTATATACTGTTGGAATCCTAATATCATGACAGCCTCTTCTTCCATATGAATATTACAAACTGTACTTAACTAAAATCTTCAACATTCCTCCAGTTTGTACAGCAACAAAGGCGAGTACCTGGGCACCAGGCCAGCCTCAGATAATGGGTTACGCAGCGGTGTCCTTGAAGTCAATAACACAGAGGCCGACCTCACACAGGGAGCGTTCCGTCAACCCTCACACAAGTTCGACTATGTCATAGAGCCCGATGTACGTAAAACCAAAACTTTTAAACGACTCTTCACTTTATTACGAGAAACACGATCCAACTAAAATACTACTAAAACCGAACATTGAAGAACCTCTCTAAAATTATTAATACATATTATAATGAAAGTATCATTAAGTCTATAATTGCTAACAGTATAAGATTATAATAACTAGGAATAAAAAAAATCTATTCAAAGCACCTACTCTATACGAGTTCAAGAATAAGAGTTAAAAAAATTAAGAAAGATACAACAGAGGCAATCGCGCGTAGCTAGTTTTACCACAATTATCCATCAATCTATATAATATTTAAACGAACAATAAATCATCCATATGTTCAAAAATATTGGGTACATAATAGATACAAACTGCTACCAACAATCACAGCATGAATACCAGTTTTGCCTTTGGTGAAACGTAACTGAAACTCTCATTCGTTGTAGATTATTTTTATGCGAATTATCGTTTAGAAATTACTCGTAAGATTCCTTTCAGATGGCGGAGCGGGTAGCAGGTGATCTGCAAACAGCACTTGACGTGTCAGCCGCGGACATATCGCGTGGCCGTGACCAGGGTCTGCCGCCCTACAACCAGTATCGCAAGCTGTGCGGGCTGCCCTATGCTCACAAGTTTGAAGATTTCCACGACGTTATATTCCCAGATGTGAGTATCTTTGTATTACGAATGTGTACATAACAGTGTGCCATATCGTTATCTACAACTCACGTCAAACTCCCTATTTTACTTGAGAATACCAATCCTACCCTTTAATTCCTTTGTGGATTTCAATTCTGCTGTATTCCAGCTGAATGTGGGCGATTCTCGACTCTTTTTCCATCTGGTTCTGCTTAAAGTGTAATTACTCTTAGTCAGCGTTCCTATATTTTGTAATGAATATCTGCATTCATTTCTTGTGTTTTGGAGAGTCCAGTAGTTTTTAGGTTTAATCGGTTAATATCACGTAGAAAGTGGAACAAATGCGTCGCATATACAACGATGTAAACGACGTGGATCTGATGGCGGCCATCTACAGTGAGAAGTTGATCGATGGTGGATTCGTGGGACCGACGCTCTTCTGCATCATTGTGCAAAATATGCTGCAGTGGCGCAAGTCCGACAGGCATTTCTTCGAACATGGAGATACACCGACTGCCCTCACGTTACGTGAGTATTTCAAAAATTACCAAAACAAATATCGTCAATTACTTGTCACTTTCATTTTTCGTTTTTTATTTGTTTTTTGAGATAATGAACCTAAAGCTGCAGTCTCGACAACGTTTACGATCGTAATCTTACCAAACTCGGTGTCTTACTCATAGCAATTGTAAGTTAACGATTATTATTATTGAAAGTCTCTACAGTATGCACGATTTTCACGTACACGCATCGGACAACGTTTATTGGTTAGGTCCCCTTCCAGGTGAACTGACGATCCGACAAAGAACGGCCAATACAGGACCGATTGTCTTGGAGATCTATGGGGGAGGCCTATGCTCGGCAGTAAGAATCATATAGTTGATGATGAGGCACGTACCTAGTGCAACTTTTAAATTAGAGATTGAGTTTGACATCTCGGTCGGTTAACTCTGCGATCGCTACCAATGTCTAAGTATGTATGTATGAGTATATTTAAGTTTACTTTCATGTGTTTTTCAGCTCAACTGAATGAAATAAGAAAATCAAGTACGGCCAGGCTTCTATGTGACAATGGAGATCGAGTGCATGAGATCCAACCGAGGGCAATATTGAATCCTGGACCCGGGTAAACTTTTGTAGTACCTTATGTACTATTGAGTGTTCATTCGTTGCTCGTTAATTCGCGATTATTATTTGGTCTGTCATAGTTCTTACAAAAATCTCCTAAATGTTACCAGTTTTAAATAAAATACGTTAATATTATTCACTGAACGACAGAGACCGTGTATTAAGCATTTCTAATCGTCATACCAAAAACAAAATATCGACATGTCTGCGTAATGTAATTTTCCATGTACTAACAAAGCTTTTTGATCTTATTAATTTGTGTAGCAGTCACTTAATCGATATTTGGTGATGCAAAAAAGTGGGAATAAGTATCCCAATATAATCGGACATCACCCAGCATGTATATTGCGTAATAGCAATTTGTATATATTACTAAAAAGAAATTTCAATTTCAGAAATGAAATAAGATCTTGCAAAGAAATTCCCTCGGTGGACCTGACCAAATGGACAGACGACCGGTGTTTCCATAAGGACGATAAACAAAACAGAGAAGAATACACGCAACATCAGAACACCGCGTACCAGTTATGGGAGTCGTACAATTATGACAAGAAGTAGGTTTAAACCACCCGAAAACATGGCAATAAGAAATTAAAAAAGAAAATAACATTTACAATTTGTAACCAAAAGTGTATCAAGCTACTTATAAAGTGAATGGAATTGTAATTAATAAATGAATTCATTTCCTTTATTTGTGACTAATGTTATTTAATTGTGTGGTAAAATATAATAAAAATCTATAATCAGGATGTTTTAATTCTTTTGAAGGTTCCGTAGCCAAAGGTAAAACGGGAACCCTATTGCTTCAACGACCAGAATAAAATAAATATTTAAAATGGCTCTCGTACAACAAACGTGTTTTTTTCGCTTATTTACCCCTACGTGCGCGAGTTCGCCTTGCACTTGGTCGGTTTTTACTTATCGATGTGGATATTAATCTATACATAGTATAAAACATAGTTGCATCTCTCTGTCAGTACGCAACATCTTATCTTTGGAACTACATACGGATTTCATCACTACACAGAATGATTCAAGAGGACAGTTTGTATGTATAATAATACAGGAATACGCGGGCGAAGCTGACAGAAAACTAGTAAAGATTAAATAAATAAATATAATACATTATAAAAATCATACCTCGGACTTCAAAACGCAAATTGGAATATTAATACGTAAACACGTGTCATGGAATATTGAAATTCGTGTTTACGAAGCATATGTAGGTATAAACTTTTAAGCTTTCGCGTTGCATTATATTAGATTGTATGAAACGGGATATTAACCCGATAGATACACCTGCAACACCAGAGGGGCTACAAGCGCGCTGCCGGCCTTTGAGGGAAGGGTTGAGGGGTAGAGGGAAGGGAATAGGGAGGGTTTGGGCCTCCGGTACCCTCACTCACACGACGAAACACAACGCAAGCGTTGCTTCACGTCGGTTTTCTGTGAGGCCGTGGTATCAAAAAATAAAATTGCGAAAAGGGCATGCAAATGCTCAAGAATTAAATACAGAGAAATATTATAGAAATCCTACTAATATCACAAAATGTAGAGTCGGTTAGGACGATGATAGTGATTGATATTTGTTACTCATTCAAACAATAGCAACTAAACGAATTTGAATGAAATTTGGTATACAAATTATTCCTAGCCCGAATTAATTTGAAAGCTACTTAATATCCCACTAAGGATGTGGTAAAATAATAACTCTAACACATAAGTCCAACTTCGATAAGACATGTGTACCTCAATACTATCCTTAATTTTTTTATTTCTAATTCTAATAATTAATTAATAACTTAGCGTGCCAAATGATTATATACGAGTACGTGAACAAAATCACAGCATTAGCCTTTATAGTTACATTAAAAATATGTCATGGTTAAGTCAGCTGCAAAGGTAAACTACTAATAGTCGATTAACTTTTAAAATTTAAAATAAAAAAAGTAATTCAATACACGAAATTCAGACGCCACTACTGGTAGTGTAAAAACAGAAGGATCTAAACATAAAATTATCAAGCATGAAACCCTATACCTACCGCTTCTTTGAGGAAGCAATAAATTACTGTAATTACACAATCGGGTTAAGTATTGTAACTAAACGTTAATTAAATAAACATGATATGCGATCATAGATTATTATTTAGCCATTATTTTGAGGATATTTCTGTAATTAAGATATAACTATTTTAACAACTCGAGTACCTCGGTGGTTTAATGGATAAGCGCCGCAGCCCGCGATCGTAGTCGTTAAGCAACTTTCGCAAGGGTCAGTCACGGGATGGGTGACCAAAAATTATTATCTCGAGCTACTCCGTGCTTCGGTAGGCACGTTAAGCCGTTGATCACGGTTGCATTTGCAGTCGTCAATATCCTCCAATCCGCATTGGGCCAGCGTGGAGGGTAATGGCCTATCCTCCTTAACCATCCATAAGAAAGGCCTAAGCCCCTGCAGTGGGGACGTAAAAGGGCTGGTGATTTTAACAACAAAAAATCTCAAGGCGTATAAATTTCTATTGTAATTGTTTCTTCTCTATTGTCTAAACTATTATTAATTTATTATTTAATATAATGAATGAATTTATTATAACTGCGGGTTAGGTAGAAATAATTATTAGATTTTACTATAATAAATACAGTGAGTTATTTTAATCGGAAACGCATTGGTTTTAATTACGAGTATATAAGTTAAATGTTGTAATACAAATATTGCGTACTGTGTACCACCTACTTATTATGATGCTGGATAAATTAACAATACTTAATTTGCCACCTCTCAAAAATAGATAAAATTTGCATGTAGTAACGTGATAAAACCAATGAAAATATACTTTAACAGTATGACTTCTTTTTTAAAGATAAATCTTATGTTCTAGTTCAATTCACCAACGCCACTATTAGAATTACCTGGGCTCTTAATCCTTCATCTCCTTTATTTTTATTTTATTTATTTTATCAAATCGAAAAGAAGATCTCCTAATGATGTTTCAAACGTTTTGATTTGTACGTTATTTTACTTTAAGAGTGTATTTTAGTTTCATGTGTTTTTCAGCTCAACTGAATGAAATAAGAAAATCAAGTACGACCAGGCTTCTTTATGACACTGGAGATCGAGTGCATGAGATCCAACAGAGGGCAATATTGAATCCTGGACCCGGGTAAACTTCTCCTTCTTTAATCAATTTTCTTTTGTAGTACCTTATGTGCTATTGAGTGTTCATGCTCGATACTTGGCGATTATTATTTGGTATGTATACTTCTTTCTAATAACTAAAACCCTAATTATTAGTGATGCAAAATTACCTTAATTGTATGGTGTTTTCTTACAACTTAAATGATAATATATTTGATTGATTGATAAACAGTTAATTGATATTAAATGATATGCTAAATTATAATATTGAGTACACGCAACGAATGCTAATTGTGAAATGAAAAATATTGCTTATGTGAAAACGCTGAATTAGCACAATGCACGGTCATTCACCGTACATGCTCCGGGAGAGGAAATGAAAGGATGCTGGAATCTGACTGACTATGGTTAACAAATTCGGTAACTTAAAATATTTACATTTCACTTATAAATTGCATCTTATTTGCTAAAATGATAACGGAAATCTGGAGACGTCGCCTTGTTAGATATCTTTCCATATCTCAAATCACTCATTTTAATATCGTTATCTGAACTACTATGTGGGTGCGATTGAGGTGACTTCATTGGTGGCAGCGGTGCTCGTATTGTAACAGGCGAACGAAGTGTGCGTAGGGGCTTTGGCGGCGGAGAAGTTGTGCACGTATTCTGCTGCGCTCTCATCTCCCAGGGCTGCTGAACCCGTCGAGCTGGCGGTGAGTAATCGACACCTGTGATCGACACCTTCCACGTATTTTCAGTTGCCAGTCCAGTGCTATTTCAGCCAATATAATGTTACCTAAAATAAAACTGATTAAAACATATTGGGTAATATTATGGGTAGAAGGGTCCGATGTCGGACATTTTTCTGGATCAGCGTCTTTCAACGTTTGTATCTGATCTCGTACTTTATCTGATTATTCTTAATATAAAATTATTTGTCCAACACAAACGAAAATAACTGCTTTGTTAACATTAGATTCATCGTAACATGTAAAAATGGTTTCATAAAAAATAAATAACCTCACTGGACAGATGCCTCGCCCATGAAAACAACCCGCGTTCTCTGATAATTATTTTTATTTTTTGCTTCGTGCCCAAAGGATTAGAGAAGTAACAGCCGGTCCATTACGACTAATTAATTATATAGAAAAATATATAAGAAGCATTTTGAATGTTAATAAAATGTAAAAATCAAGACACAAACATGCGAATACTTCCACCACAAAATAACATGTAAATGCGAAAGTACATACTGTCTGTACTATAGTGAGATAAGAGTATTAAAAACGATTCAACAATGTAACATTCTGCTGCAGAAATAATCATAAACAATGACAAATATTTTTAATGAAAAATACTTGAAAATCCTCCAGCATAGTCAGGTATCACGAGATGGGAACCCACACTTTTTCACAATCCAGGTGACTGTTCTAACCATTGAGCTGCCCGAGGTCCAACAGAACTGACGAATTTTTCAAGTACTTGTTTTTTTTACTTTTGAGCGAACATACTTTCATTCAATGTTTAAACAATCCACCCAAACAGCCGAAATATATATTTTTAACAAACTTCAAAAAAGGAGGAAGTGGTTCTCAATTCGACTCTATGTTTTTTTTTGTTTGTTACTCGATTACTCCGCCAATGATGAATCGATTTTCAAAATTATTTTTTTAATCGACAGCCTAATCGAATCAGTACTTTTCTTTTTATATACAAAAATGCTTTTCATCAGCTATCGCCTAAATATTATGATGACATGTTTATATTAGCGAAAAACAAAAGATAGCGCACTTTGCATTCATTCAAAATCCGAAAGGAGGATATTCTATGTTCAACGGGTATGTATATTTTATAAGCAAGCAAGTAAATGTATTCACCGATTTCTTCGTGGTTACGTTATGCAAATAATTAAAAGTTCAGGACTTTCATTATGAAAATATAATTTCTTTTATATTGAAGAAATGCAAAAGGATATATTATACTTGCAAAAACAAAATAAAGACCTCAAAGCAGATATAAATTTTAAAGAACAAGCGGAACATTTACTAAATGTAGAAATATTATCCATCCCAGAAGAAAAAAATGAAGATCTTAAAGCTATAATTATTAAAATTGGACATTTTATCGGTGTCACTTTGGGACCTCATGACATTGTTAATGCTAATAGGGTGACTCCGACAATAAAATTACATGGTCGGCCCAGAGTCATTGTGGCAAAGTTGATGACACTACTGTTAAAGGATAACATGGTATCTGCGTCACGCAAACGTCGTATGTCTACAGCTGATCTCAACATAAGCGGAGATCCTAAATCTATATTTATAAATGAGCATTTAACGTCTTATAACAAACAACTCTTAAAAAATGCAAAAGAAGTCTGCAAAAATAAACAATACATTTATACATGGACAAAAAATGGA